CTCGTTGTTATTGTGGGGGGCTTAGCAGACAGAGCACTGAGGCTCGATGCTGGGGATCTCCCTTACTTTGGACCTCAGTCTTTGGCGCGACTAATTCTGCATTGTCTTTTCTTCTCCTTCATTCCTTTCCCTTACCTTCTCCAACCTCTTCCCTTGTCAAGTTGCTACTGAACTTAGTGCCTATTTTATCAAGGTCAGTTGCGGCTCTCACCTTTTTCTTCACTTCTTTTCTATATAATCAGACCAAATGTACTCCTAACTCCTCACTATCCTCTACTGAATCTTATAATGCCCCTTTTTCTGACTTGTATTATGCATTCCAGTCATGCCGCAACACCCACGAAGGCCCAGACGGTAATTACTACCTTGTTAAACTTTCCATCTCCTTCCTTGTCCCTTCCCTTAGTGATGTGTATTAACATAAGGACGACCAGAAACTGTATCTACCATTCCTAAAACCAAACAAACCCGGTACTCTTCCTCAAGACTACCGTCCTAAAGCACTTACAAGATCACTATGTGTTACATCGAATATCACAACCTGATCTCTTTAAATCGGTATGGTTTTTGTTACGGCCAAAGTACAGCTGATCCTCTTGCCTATTGCAATAATCAAATCACATCGGCATTTACACGCCGGGAATCAGTATTAGCTGTCTTCTTCGATCTTATGACATACACAGAAACAGATATTTGCATAGTCCTTTCTTTTAGATCACACCTTCCGTGTTAGATTTACCTCTTCTACTTCCTATTCTTTCCCTCACTTCAAAGGTGTCCCACAAGACAATATGCTCAGCACATTATTCCTCATACCTGTAAATGGATGTTTCAACTCTACTAATAGAAGTCCGGTCATCACTGTACATAGATGCCTAACCATCTTTGTCTCTAGTCCTTCCATGTCCGCTCTCCATCTCATCTTATGATACCAACCTCGGCTTTCGATTTTCTACCTCTAAAATCCGTCCTTTTTTTCTCGTTCACATGTAGGATTCCAACCTCCACTCTCTCGATAGGATGTCCCCATCCAATTCCACCCTTTAGACCAGTTTCTTGGTGCCATTCTTTATTCCAAACTGCCTTGGTCACATCCTAGAAAGAGCACGCCGTCGCCTCCGACTCTGACAGACTCTCTCCCATATACTCTGGGGTTCAGACCGCAACACACTCCTCCATCTCCATATCACCCCAATCCTCCTCACCCTTCATTATGGCTGTCATATATATTCTCCTGCCTCGGCCTCCCTTCTCACACACCTGGACACAATCCACCGCTGTGGTCTTCATTTGATCCTAGGCGTTTTTTATCCTCTGCAGTTGAGAGCCTGTACACTGAAGTAGGTTTGTTTTCCCTTTCTCGGCGTCTTGCTCTGTCTCTAAGAAGCTATCCTCATTTTCAACAATTTTCTCTCTCCAAGCTCTCTCCTTCTATCCTCTATCTCTCCAAGCTCTCTCCCTCTATCTATCCTCTATCTCTATCTCTCCAAGCTCTCTCCCTCTGCTCTATCTCATCTCTCCAAGCTCTCTCCTCTCTCTATCTCTCTCTATCTATCTATCTCTAGCTCTATCTCTCCAAGCTCTCTCCCTCTGCTCTCTCCCTCTCTATCTCTCCAATCTATCTCTATCTCTCCAAGCTCTCCAATCTCTCTATCTCTCCAAGCTCTCTCCCTCTATCTATCCTCTATCTCTCCAAGCTCTCTCCTCTATCTATCCTCTATCTCTATCTCTCCAAGCTCTCTCCCTCTATCTATCCTCTATCTTCTCCAAGCTCTCTCCTCTATCTATCTATCTCTATCTATCTCTCTCCAAGCTCTCTCCTCTTCTCCTCTCTCTACCTCTCCCAAGCTCTCTCCCTCTATCCTCTATCTCTCTATCTCTCCAAGCTCTCTCCCTCTATCTCTCTATCTCCCAAGCTCTCTCCCTCTATCTATCCTCTTATCTCTCTCCAAGCTCTCTCCCTCTATCTCTCTATCTCTCCAAGCTCTCTCCCTCTATCTATCTCATCTCTCTCTCTCTCTCTCAAGCTCTCTCCCTCTATCCTTTCCTTTTTCGTATGGATGCCAGTGTCTTCGCCCTCTAACATTTCTCTTCTTTTACAGGTACACAATTATAGAGAATTTGCGTTATATGCTCAGCAACTATGACCCAAAATTCCCCATTTATTTTGGATCAAGACTTAGATTGTTCTACAAAGAGGGAATCCTGGGGGGAGGTGAGTGGCCTTATACACACACACACACACACACACCACACACACACACACACACACACATATATATATATATATATATATATATATATATATATATATATATATATATATGCATTATATATATGTATATATATATATATATATATATATATATATATATATATATATATATATATATATATATATATATACATATATATACATATATATATATATAGATATATAGATAGATAGATAATAGATAGATATAGATATATATAATACATATATATACATATATATCTATATGCATATCTATGTATATGTATGTATGTATGTATCTATCTATCTATGTATCTATGTATCTATCTATCTATCTATCTATACACACACACACACACACACACACACACACACACACACACACATATATATATATATATATATATATATATATATATATATATATATATATATATATATAGATAGATAGATAGATAGATAGATAGATAGATAGATAGATAGATATAACTATGTACTTATATACGTGTGTGTGTCCTGTTAAATTTCTTTTTCCTTATAAATGAAATCAATACCGATAATATGCAATGCAAATATTCTTTATTTACAGGTTCCGGTTACGTCCTGAGCCGAGAAGCAACAAGAAAGTTCGTGGAAGAGGCCTTGCCCAATAAATCAATATGCAAGCAAAGCAATCAGGGTCTGGAAGATGTTGAGATAGGTATACTTCCGTTAAAGCATCTCACGCAGAGTGGAGAGTCTCTCAGCTGACTTCGCAATACTCGTTTCGAATTATTACTCTGAGCGTTTTGTTGATGTTACAGCTGGTTGTCTGCTGAAGAGTGGAGTCCTGATCGGCGATTCCCGAGACAGCTTGGAACGTGGTCGGTTCTTCCCATTAGGACCTCACATCCACATCAGGGGGGGTATTCCTCAGTGGTATAAGAAGAACGCCTTTTACAAGCCCTATGCGGTAAGTAATCAGAACGGATTTTTATTGTTGTCACCTCAGTGCAGTTGGCGGGTTTAGGGTTCAGTGACCTAGGAAGTGGGACCAAAATGGGGAAATATCCCCGATGCTAGAAGGGTGGGGTCAGATGTACTGGTTCCAGGGCGCACCGAAGCACGTCAGAGGGAGATGGTTCCTTTTCTGATTATCCATTTCACTATGGGTGTTACAGATTGATTTTTTTGCTTACAGCAGTTGCTTAGAGACGGGACTCCTGGATTCTAGGCTGTGCAACTCGCTGCCAACTGGCAAAAGCACCTTTTCGATCTGTCTCCCCTTCGCTTTCCCTATCAGCTTCCTCCTCCTCCTCCCTACCCCCCCTCCCCACTTCTCACGCTGCCTTTCCCTACCTCTCCCTGGCTTCTCCTCTCCAACCCCAGGCCTCCCTCCCTCTCCCTCCCTGCTGTCCTTGTAGCTAGAAACATACCTTTTATTCTCTGGTCATATTCTTCGTCCAGGCCAGGTCGGGTCAAACGACTGGTCAATCATTTAAGCAATCGTTGTTCAGTGCTGTACATCGTAAAAAAGTGGGGGTTGTATATACATACTCAGTACCCTGGACTGATTGATTATTCCAAAACTGTCTGCTATGTCAAGAGCATTATTATTTTGACTTTTAAATAAAGCCTTTTCAATTAATTTGTATGTAAATGCAGGCTAAAAAAGTGTTTGTACTTCCCGTATTTATATGCCAGTTTTCATCCAGGAAATTATAACACTACTTGTCTCCCGCTAGAATGTAATAAGATCGGTTAACATTTCTCGATGTATGTATGTCTTAGTCTAAAATTTCTACACATTCGTTTACTTGACTCACCATAAGCGGCTCCTGGTTTCGTGCCAATTAGGACATCATTTCCAGCCATCAACCATCCATATTAAATAATTGTTTACACAATTATTTATCAGGTGGCTTGATTGCTGTTATCCCCGACTTCCAAGTACATTCGTGAGCCATTTCATTACACCGTTAGAGATTTTACCAATGCTTTTATGAAGACCTGATGATATTTTCAGGAGTTACATCCATAATCAGTGTTTGGCTTTGTACCTTCAGCTTTATCATTGGAAAAAAAAATAACCTTCATAAATAACACCTCATGTTATACCAAGTGAGTTAAGATGAAAAATGGAATGGTTCTGCTATATCATATATCATATTTTACACGGATTACCTCATGAAGTTGTTGAAAGATACTTGTTCCTTATAAGTTACCAAGCTGAAGGTGGAATCTGCAGCATTTTCAGGACTCTTGTCTCCCAGTAGAGCAGACGCTATGTGCTACAGATATACGGGAGAATTTTCGGACATGTAATATGAGGTGGGGCTTGAGTTGGGAGATAAAACCCATATATTTCGATAGACTGATACAAATCAGGACACTTTTCCACAATGGCAATATTTGCAAATGCATCCCAAAGGTGCTGTATGTAAATGGACAGAAATTTGGCAATCGATCATGTTCTTTTCATGACGAGAGTAAACATTGACTGACCGCAGACTGTTGTGCGAGTGCGAATGAACTAGTGCATGTATTACTGCGCGATTGTCAAAATATATTTTGCTAATCATCAGTGTCTGCCGTCAAATTTCTGCTTGAAAATGCCTTTATTAATGTTGCTATACCTCATTTACGTGTTTAAAGATTAATTGTACAGGTTTTAACAGGAATCGGTCTGAAGAACCAGCGCAAGCGCATTTTCGCGTTTCTGCCACCAGGTTTGACAGGACGATTCACAGGAATTCGGTGACATGTTTTGTTTTCGGTGTTTTCG